GCTTGTAAGAATATAAAAAACCTATTGATCTCTAGGTATTTAAAGTAACGTAGATCACTATGTATCGATTACCTAGCTTGGTTTAGTAAGTAGTCGACCATAGTGTAAGGATAGAGCCAGCTTATGTACGTAGGGGTGTAGGATAGCGTTAGTCCATGCTATTATGGGGTATAGAATAAAGTAAGCTTATTGAGGTAGGGGTGTACGATTGATACAATCTTTACCCCTACCCTCCGGGGTGGGATAGGGATCTAAAACCGGCGGGAACTAGAACTGTCATAGCCGCAGATGCTGGTAGTTTATACATCATTTATATAAGTGACCTTGACCTTGGGGTTTCCGGACAATTTATTTCACATAAAGGACCATAACTTCCTGAAAAAGTGTTGAAATCTGAAATTAAAATGTCTCAGCACAACTACATAATATACTGATCATTGAAGTGAAGTTTCAACAAAATCTGCCCGTTAGTTGAGATGGAGATTTCCTGACAAGTTATTTCGCATAAAGGGCCATAACTCCCTTAAAAAGTGTTGAAATCTGAAATTAAAATGCCGATGCACAACAACATAATACACTGTATACTGATAATTCAAAAGAAGTTACGAGGGTATTATTATTCTTAAGTTGCCACAAGAGGCTTGTGTTGGTGTTTGACAGCTTAATGATATTCCCAGGGGGTGAGTTTCTCAATTCTCCCCCTGTGCAGATGATTTATTTTCTTCCCACCTCAACTTATGTAAATTACTCGTGTCACATACGGTACAATCATATGTCATTCACTTTTATAACGTCACAATCATATATTTACATTCTTACCAACTGAAAACAACTGCCATTAGACTATGAGTACACTATGCATACAACGATTCTCGTGCAACCAGTCAGCTGATTTCACACACAATGACCACTTAATATTACTACGCATAGTACTATTTCTGAGAATAGTTATCTCCCCTTCTCCGAGATAACGTAGTTGCGAGAAATAATTATAAACATAAAAATCATGAATGATGCAACATTGTACTATTATTATCATTCTTTTTAATTCAAAACTAAAACAAAATATACTTATAACATTGTCATACTGACTTCCGACTCGCAATCGGTTCCTCGTTATCACGAGCTTTCTAACACTCAAACGTCCGGCTGGGTAATCCCCGTGTCATCAACTTGCACATCGAACTCAGAGAACTTTGTAATGACACAGAGCACTTCATCCACCAACTTATCATCATTTACATCTGCAGTTTTTTTTGGTAAACAGTACATTCAACGGCTGTACATTTAACTTCAAATGAGCTCTATGCCTACTGCCGATGGGTTCTCGGCCGACGAGTGCCCTGGATGGTTACTATAGTGACCGATGAAAAAAAATATCAACTGTTGATTATCATAAGATTCTAGATATATTTTTGATTCAACAAAATCAGCTGATCTGCTAACGCGCTCCACATGATATGTAGATCAGCTACTGCTATTCATTGCCGCAATGCACTTGAACAAATTCCATTCAATCCCGTTTTGACGGCGTTATATTATGACAACATAATCGAAAGGCCGCCAAAACGTCTTTTGACCTATTGTGACAATCTTGTAGACGGCATGTAACACCACCCCAGAAATATAAGTGTTATTGCACTACAGGTCTTGCATTGCTATTTCAATTTGAGGTATACCGCTTGGTATACCGTTTTTCTACTAAATCTAAATGAGTTTTAGTTTGGTTACATTATCAAGAAATTATAAAAGTCTCGTGTTTTGCAACTGAAGAATAATTATTTTTGAGTTGAGATCTCACATTCTAAGTGGGTAAATGTTTAAAATAGTCTTACACCGAAAAAAAGGTGGATACCCTCCAGGGTAGGACAGATTTAATCCACTTGAATATAAAGTGTAGGATAGAACTGACAATAAAAGTTGCATCCCTCTTTTTGCAGTCTTATCTTCGAAGAGACATCTCTCACGATCTCTGCACCTCTGGAATATGTCATTGCAAAATAGAAAGCACGCGGCTAGCTAATTGATCGGCCTACCCTGAGCCTGACATATTGCAGGGATTCAGAAAGTGGAAGTGAGCGCAACCCCGGTGTGTTCGAGGATGTCGAAGAGCACATTACGACATCTTCCAAAGATCTGACCAAGTCCTTCAATTTCAATTGCTGATATGTCCATGTTGTGTTGTTGTCTTAAACAACAACAACAAAATGATCGGCACGTCCATCGTGTGTACCCTCCTGAACTTGACACTACTCGTCGTCCTCACTTTGACGCAGCATTATTTGGATTTGACAGAGTCACATAAAGGGTGTTGTCGATTTGACAGAGTCACATGAAGGGTGTTGTCGATGAAACATATGGTGCTTACCATTCCGGAACACATGGTCTTATCATCTATATATACTTTTAAGGATTCCATGTAAATCATTCATTTATTTATATTTAGCGCTAGTTCCATGGATTTTGAGTTGAAAAGACGGCTTTGTTCATTTTTCGGTATTCTCTTGTCTTTTTTGCCAGTGTATATAGGAGTGAAGATTTGTTTTATCCTATTGTTGACTTCATAGCCAAATCAATATTTACACACCTGGAAAGTGTACTATTGGGTATGTAAATTTATCCACAGCATGGAGTTCAGTGCCCTATAACTGAATGCTGGGCTATGTATAAACTTTGCCCGGGGATGACTGGAACCTTAAACCTCAGTCTGCTATGTGCTGATTTTGAAGCCAGTGTTGTCACATATGCCACTTAGGACACAGCTACCAACAGATACAAACAGATCGTGGATGACCGCGATTGTCAACAAAAGTAGTGTAGAGATCCTGGTATTGCTCCCAGGCCTTTTCCTGTAGTTGGCGAACAATGAACATCAAACCGACTGTTTCGAAACAACCTGCTCTGAACTCAAACTAACTTTTGAGCAGATTACTTTGCTCAAAATGCTTGACATTTGAGAACAAGTCTTGCTAGGTTTGTACCTGTGATTGACATCTTGACGTGAGTAAAATATCCCTACAGTCGTCACAGGACTCTCTGTTTCCTTGTGTATGTAGAGGTGGACTATATATGTGTCCTTGAAGTCTTTAGGGAATATACCTCTACATTGCCATTGACAAGTTGTGGCTTGATAATGGATCGCCTAGCAATGGTAGCACAAGATCCTCAGGTTTTACCACAACGCCATTGTTTGATTGATTTGAAGACCTTTTTGTTGTGCAAGGGATGGTCTAGCTTGATGTTTTTCGCCACCTGAGGTAGGCGGTTTATGACAGCTTCGGTTATAAAGACGAGGGGCGGTTGATAATAATAGTATTCAGCTCGCCTATCTAGGATCTTTGTTTTGTCAGTGAGGAGGGTGGCTCCATCTTAAGATAAAAGTCGTACTGTACCAGATTTTGGGGGACTGTAGCCTGCTCTCAAGGGGTCGTAAAAAATCTTGGCTTCCTGCTTTCCAGACTATGGTCTTGTTCATAAGCCATATTTTGGCATGGCCATATGTAATTCCCGAATTTTCCGACGGATGCTAAAGAAAACTTACGTTTTTGAAGTCGATATTCGGTCATATTGACGGATAAGCTAGTGCTTTTGCCTCTTCTCTAAGTCTAAAAGAGTGTTGAATTCCTAATGATTTTCTCAATAGTTATGTTACCAGGCTGCTCTGGAGATGAAGCGGATAGTTTCATCTCTTAAGAGCACTCCACACTCCTTTACGCTGACGTTATCGTATATTTCGGAAAACTCGAGTAGAGTCTATGACAAGATTGGTATATGTCCTACTATCAGTTTTGAAGTTTTTAGCTTCCTTCTGGTTTCTTTCTGAAGCTTAGATGTGACGGGTGAGTTTGGAGATGATTGTTTGTAACTCTGTCACTGGAGTATCCTGGTTATGATGTAATCCAGAAGATGTCGGTGTTTGAACGTTTGGTCCATGTTTTAAGTAGTGAGTGAAACATAGAGTGAGTCTTCGTAAGCAGGGAATGTAGGATAGTATAGCTATTACAAGGAGGTATACGTTTAGGTCTAAACTAATCTTTTTATCCCCGTCGGGATGAGAAAGGGAGTCCAACCAGACGGGAAAAAAGCTGAAGTTTCCAAACACAAGGTTGTGGAACGCTTGTCTAAATAATCTTTCCCAAAAAATGATTAGACCCTCACACCCCAAGGTACATTTTACATGTATTATGGGGTTGGGATTTATTTTCCTCTCTTATCCTATTAAGCCTTTTATCCCTATGGATATATCAACAGGTCAATGGTATATGATGACTGTTATTAGGCTAAGTCAGAAGCTACATTTCTGTAATGTAGCATGATAAAGCAGAAGACACAATGATTTGATTTCCCCCCTTTACTTTACAGACAAAGCTTAACGTTTGATGGCAGATGCCTAACATTCGTCATTATCTGTTTATTTAAGCATAAGAAATAGTCGTAAGATATTTATCACAATATCAACACAAAGGGGGCAGATTTTGAACTCAAAGTCAATACAAAAGACATATACAGGAACATAACAACACTGAAATAGCAAATAACATACTTCTTAACCAGCCAACACAATACGACAAACACGGACTTTCAAAATTCTTTTGGACAGGAACAGTGCAAGAGAGACAACTCTTACTACAAAACAGAATTACAATTGATTGATCTTCTAGAAAGGTTGTTCTGAATCTCTGCATACTGATACCTCTTTTAGTCAATACAGTGTTATTTATTTCAAATGAAAAACAAATAAAAAGATTAAAAATAATCAAAAAAATCAAACGATTTATTTGTATCCGTCTCCAGACAAATCATATTATCATGTTTTGTCTATTGTAATATATATAAGTGAATAACAATGCAAACGTCTGCGTTCTCTCCCTTTGTTTGTTATATACGTATAATGTTTTTTACTTACATGTTAAATCCAACTTTTTGATTTATTTGTATCACATCGCCTAGACAATAGAATATGAAAACGACAACTCCAGATTATATGTTAACATGTCTTTTATTCAGTTATATTATGCTAAGAAATATACATTAAGTTAAAAAGTAAGAAAACAAAATCCCGGCATTAGTTACGTAGTTTGGTATTGTATACATGTATATTATGAATGTGAATTTGTGTCACATTTATCTTTAGTTTAATAGTTTGCACAATCTGGGCCGATGTGTCAAAAGTCTAATAAGCTTAACAGTAACTAAACATAAAAAATCTTCCTCCTGTAAACAAAATGTCGAAATTAACATCTGAGAAACCAGTGTATATAAAACTGAATAACCTAAAATCGAAAACACAAAAATATTTGTAACTTTTTAGATGTTTCTCATATATCTTGTTCTGACCATTCTAGTTAACGCCTCCTAAAAGTATATATACAGGTAAATAAAGTCACAGTTGTTGCTTAAAATACATTACATCACTCGCGTAATTATTTAAGTGTCTATTATGAATTTTAACTTTCAGCTGTAATCAACGGGAGAAGTTCTATCACTCCACACGTCAGTACCATATGATAATCAACAAACTATAGTACATAACATACGTTAAATCTATTTTCTAACAAGCGAAATTATTTTCACTATCAGCTGTAGTCAACTGACGGTGTCCTGTCACTCCACGCGTCAGTACTATATAACATCGCACGCTTATTAAACGGTTTTTGATGAAATTTTACCATTTCTATGGAAACCTCGTCATAATCCGGAAAAGGGTTATTCACTGGATAATATTCACAGCTCTGGTGGTCATATTCAGCAGGTTCCACATCACAGTCGTACATAGGATTGAACTTTGTGGTTGAACCATGTATACCCGACATGTCACAGTCGTCATAAGGGGAACGTTGTTGCGGTGTCCCAGGGGAGTAATACGGTTGGTCGACGCCATTTTTGAATTGTCGCTGAGTTTCTACGATCCAGTCTGATGTCACCGGAAGTTCCTCTCCGTCACAGTTTTCAGGTGAAGGGACCGATTCCGATTGCTTCATACGTTTTCTATAATGAAGCACACACGGATACAGTCAAATATGGAAAATTGCTTTATAGATGGAACTGCAAGAGGTACAGAAAGATTTAACCATTTTATTTGACCAACACATTTAATACATGTTGAGAGAGAAAAAAACATTTAAATTTCTGAAATATTAATTTATTCCTAAATGCTTTACCTGATAAAACAGACCATCACCACCAAAAGGATCATGACACACGCGACAGCTACACCGGTGTACATCAGTACCTCCGTATCTAAAAGACATAGGAACTCCAGTTAAAACACTACACTAACCTATGATGTAAATCATTATATAAACTCACATATATGTGGTAAATACTTAAGTCAGGATAAGCCTATATGTTTACGCTCAAATCGACTCAATAAAGCAAATGAATGGACTTCACTTAAAAATATTAAGAGATTTTTTTTATATTGAGTAATCATGAAAAACGTTTATCGTGATTTTAATTTTATCGAAATTTTATAATACATTGCAGAACACCAGTCGTTATTTTTTATGTTTTATTTTTCAGTATTTCTAAGTATCACGGTTTTTTTACCGATTTGCGTAGATTTTTTCTTGTCTCCGCCTCGTAACACAGTAGATTTAGTAGATGTGGGACCTGTTGGAGAGCTTGTTACATTTCCAGATTTTGTTGTCCACATCGGGGTCCGAGCAGGCCGCGTTTGTTTTGTGTTACTGACTACATCCGGTGACGTGTAATAGCGGTTAGATGTTTTCGATAACGCTAAATTTGTCTGTTTTTGCATGGAAGTAGGTGTCCCTGCTGTTGTCGGTGTAGTTGGTGGTGTGTTGGCAAGTGTTGCCGATGCTGATGCAGATGTGGTTGAAAGTGTTGTCATCAATGTTGTTGATATTGCCATTGTAGTTGTCGCTATTGTTGGAGTTGTTGATGCTGTTGATGTCGTTGTTGTGTTCGGTGTTGTTTTCAGTGTTGATGTCGTCAGTGTTGTTGATGTCGGTGATTTTGTTGATATTGTTGTCATCGTTTTTGATGTTACCGTTGTTGCTATTGCTGTTGACGTTGTTGTTTTCGGTGTTGTTATTGAGGAAGTCGTTATTGTTGTGGTCGTTGTTTTTAATTTTGTCGTTGTATTTGGTGTGGTCGTTGTTGTTAATGTGGTCGTTGATGTTGGTGTATTTGTTGTTGTTGGTGTGGTTGTAGTAGATGAAGCTGTTGTTTGTGTAGTTGTAGTCGGTGTAGTTGTAGCTTGTGTAGATGTAGTCGGTGTGGTTGTAGCGCGTGTAGCTGTAATCGGTGTAGTTGTAGTCGGTGTAGTTGTAGCTCGTGTAGCTGTAGTTTGTGTAGTTGTAGTCGGTGTAGTTGCAATCGGTGTAGTTGTAGTCTGTTTAGTTGTAGATGGTGTAGTTGTAGTCGGTGTAGTTGTAGTCGTTGTAGTTGTAGTCGGTGTAGTTGTAGTCGGTGTAGTTGTAGCGCGTGTAGTTGTAGTCGGTGTAGTTGTAGCTCGTGTAGATGTAGTCGGTGTGGTTGTAGTCGGTGTAGTTGTAGTCTGTTTAGTTGTAGCTGGTGTAGTTGTGTTCGGTGTAGTTGTTATCGGTGTAGTTGTAGCTGGTGTAGTTGTAGCTGGTGTAGTTGTAGTCGGTGTAGTTGTAGCTTGTGTAGATGTAGTCGGTGTAGTTGTAGTCGGTGTAGCTGTAGTCGGTGAAGCTGTAGTCGGTGTAGGTGTTTTGTGTAGTTGTAGTCGGTGTAGTTGCAATCGGTGTAGTTGTATTCTGTGGTCGTTGTTGTTAATGTGGTCGTTGAAGTTGGTGTATTTGTTGTTGTTGGTGTGGTTGTAGTAGATGAAGCTGTTGTTTGTGTAGTTGTAGTCGGTGTAGTTGTAGCTTGGGTAGTTGAAGTCGGTGTAGTTGAAGTCGGTGTAGTTGTAGCTCGTGTGGTGTAGTTGTAGTCGTTGTAGTTGTAGTCGGTGTAGTTGTAGTCGTTGTAGTTGTAGTCGGTGTAGTTGTAGTCGGGGTGGGTGTAGTCGGTGAAGCTGTAGTCGGTGTAGGTGTTTTGTGTAGTTGTAGTCGGTGTAGTTGCAATCGGTGTAGTTGTAGTCTGTTTAGTTGTAGCTGGTGTAGTTGTGGTCGGTGTAGTTGTAGCTCGTGTAGTTGTAGTCGGTGTAGTTGTAGCTCGTGTAGATGTAGTCGGTGTGGTTGTAGCTCGTGTAGCGGTAGTTTGGGGAGTTGTAGTCGGTGTAGTTGCAATCGGTGTAGTTGTATTCTGTTTAATTGTAGCTGGTGTAGTTGTAGTCGGTGTAGGTGTAGCCGGTGTAGTTGTAGCTGGTGTAGTTGTAGCTGGTGTAGTTGTAGCCGGTGTAGTTGTAGTCGGTGTAGTTGTAGTTGGTGTAGTTGTAGTCGGTGTAGTTGTAGCGCGTGTAGTTGTAGTCGGTGTAGTTGTAGTCTGTGTAGTTGTAGTCGGTGTAGTTGTAGTCGGTGTAGGTTTAGTCGGTGTAGTTGTAGCTGGTGTAGTTGTAGCTGGTGTAGTTGTAGCTGGTGTAGTTGTAGCTGGTGTAGTTGTAGCTGGTGTAGTTGTAGTCGGGGTAGTTGTAGTCGGTGTAGGTGTAGTCGGTGTAGCTGTAGTCGGTGTAGGTGTAGTCGGTGGGGTTGTAGCTGGTGTAGTTGTAGTCGGTGTGGTTGTAGCTCGTGTAGCTGTAGTTTGGGTAGTTGTAGTCGGTGTAGATGCCGTCGGTGGAGTTGTATTCTGTTTAGTTGTAGCTGGTGTAGTTGTAGTCGGTGTAGGTGTAGCCGGTGTAGTTGTAGCTGGTGTAGTTGTAGCTGGTGTAGTTGTAGTTGTAGCGCGTGTAGTTGTAGTCGGTGTAGTTGTAGCTCGTGTAGCTGTAGTTTGTGTAGTTGTAGGCGGTGTAGTTGCAATCGGTGTAGTTGTAGTCTGTTTAGTTGTAGCTGGTATAGTTGTGTTCGGTGTAGTTGTTATCGGTGTAGTTGTAGCTGGGGTAGTTGTAGCTTGTGTAGGTGTAGTCGGTGTGGTTGTAGCGCGTGTAGCTGTAATCGGTGTAGTTGTAGTCGGTGTAGTTGTAGCGCATGTAGTTGTAGTCGGTGTAGTTGTAGCTTGTGTAGCTGTAGTCGGTGTGGTTGTAGCGCGTGTAGCTGTAATCGGTGTAGTTGTAGTCGGTGTAGTTGTAGCTCGTGTAGCTGTAGTTTGTGTAGTTGTAGTCGGTGTAGTTGCAATCGGTGAAGTTGTAGTCTGTTTAGTTGTAGCTGGTGTAGTTGTAGCCGGTGTAGTTGTAGTCGGTGTAGTTGTAGCTTGTGTAGATGTAGTCTGTGTAGTTGTAGTCGGTGTAGTTGTAGCTTGTGTAGCTGTAGTTTGTGTAGTTGTAGTCGGTGTAGTTGCAATCGGGGAAGTTGTATTCTGTTTAGTTGTAGCTGGTGTAGTTGTAGCCGGTGTAGTTGTAGTCGGTGTAGTTGTAGCGCTTGTAGTTGTAGTCGGTGTAGTTTTAGTCGGTGTAGTTGTAGCTGGTGTAGTTGTAGTCGGGGTAGTTGTAGTCGGTATAGTTGTAGTCGGTGTAGTTGTAGCTTGTGTAGATGTAGTCGGTGTAGCTGTAGTCGGTGTAGGTGTAGTCGGTGGAGTTGTAGCTGGTGTAGTTGTAGTCGGTGTAGATGTAGCTCGTGTAGATGTAGTCGGTGTGGTTGTAGCTCGGGTAGCTGTAGTTTGTGTAGTTGTAGTCGGTGTAGTTGCAATCGGTGAAGTTGTATTCTGTTTAGTTGTAGCTGGTGTAGTTGTAGTCGGTGTAGTTGTAGTCGGTGTAGTTGTAGTCGGTGTAGTTGTAGCGCATGTAGTTGTAGTCGGTGTAGTTGTAGTCGGTGTAGTTGTAGCTGGTGTAGTTGTAGTCGGTGTAGTTGTAGTCGGTGTAGTTGTAGTCGGTGTAGTTGTAGCTGGTGTAGTTGTAGTCGGTGTGGTTGTAGCTCGTGTAGCTGTAGTTTGTGTAGTTGTAGTCGGTGTAGTTGCAATCGGTGAAGTTGTATTCTGTTTAGTTGTAGCTGGTGTAGTTGTAGTCGGTGTAGTTGTAGTCGGTGTAGTTGTAGTCGGTGTAGTTGTAGCGCATGTAGTTGTAGTCGGTGTAGTTGTAGTCGGTGTAGTTGTAGCTGGTGTAGTTGTAGTCGGTGTAGTTGTAGTCTGTGTAGTTGTAGTCGGTGTAGTTGTAGCTGGTGTAGTTGTAGTCGGTGTAGTTGTAGTCGGTATAGTTGTAGTCGGTGTAGTTGTAGCTTGTGTAGTTGTAGTCGGTGTAGTTGTAGCTCGTGTAGCTATAGTCGGTGTAGTTGTAGCTGGTGTAGTTGTAGTCGGTGTAGTTGTAGTCGGTGTAGTTGTAGTCGGTGTAGTTGTAGCTGGTGTAGTTGTAGCTTGTATAGATGTAGTCGGTGTGGTTGTAGCTGGTGTAGTTGAAGTCGGTGAAGTTGCAGTCGGTGTAGTTGTAGCTGGTGTAGTTGAAGTCGGTGTAGTTGAAGTCGGTGTAGTTGTAGCTCGTGTATCTGTAGTCGGTGTAGTTGTAGTCGGTGTAGTTGTAGCTGGTGTAGTTGAATTCGGTGTGGTTGTAGTCGGTGTAGTTGTAGTCTGTTTAGTTGTAGCTGGTGTAGTTGTAGTCGGTGTAGTTGTAGCTGGTGTAGTTGTAGCTGGTGTAGTTGTAGCTGGTGTAGTTGTAGCTGGTGTAGTTGTAGCTTGTGTAGATGTAGTCGGTGTAGTTGTAGTCGGTGTAGTTGTAGTCGGTGAAGCTGTAGTCGGTGTAGGTGTAGTCGGTGGAGTTGTAGCTGGTGTAGTTGTAGTCGGTGTAGTTGTAGCTCGTGTAGATGTAGTCGGTGTGGTTGTAGCTCGTGTAGCTGTAGTTTGTGTAGTTGTAGTCGGTGTAGTTGCAATCGGTGTAGTTGTATTCTGTTTAATTGTAGCTGGTGTAGTTGTAGTCGGTGTAGTTGTAGTCGGTGTAGTTGTAGCGCATGTAGTTGCAGTCGGTGTAGTTGTAGCTGGTGTAGTTGAAGTCGGTGTAGTTGAAGTCGGTGTAGTTGTAGCTCGTGTATCTGTAGTCGGTGTAGTTGTAGTCGGTGTAGTTGTAGCTGGTGTAGTTGAATTCGTTGTAGTTGTAGATGGTGTAGTTGTAGTCGGTGTAGATGTAGTCGGTGTAGAAGTAGTCGGTGTAGTTGTAGTCGGTGTAGTTGTAACCGGTGTAGTTGTAGTCGGTGTTGTTGTAGTTGGTGTAGTTGTAGTCGGTTTGGCTAAAAAGTGATACGATTTTTTCACCTTAAATTCGCATAGATTTGTAGAACGAATTCCTGTTATAATTTTCATATCGATGGAATCCTACCATAGTTCAATTAGCTCCACGTATTTATATATTGTACCATACCTTTGGTATCAACATATTGTTTTCATTGTCAGGCAGGTAGTCATTAAAAATCAGATATAACATATATTTAAAGGTCTACATTTACAATAATGTACATCTGTATAGTATATTAAACATTAAGGCAAGAGGCAATCAAATTAAAAAATGAAATGTAAACTCACCATATTCACAAATAAACGGATGGTGCTCGACACATTTTTCAGATGCTATACTTGCCAGATTGCTGATTCCACACTCATCATTCGTATGTTTGATGGAAATGTTTTCTTGTTGTGCTAATTGAAAACCTAGGAGAAGGAATTTGTCACGTAAAGAAAACTTATCGAACAAATTAATAAAATGAAATAAAATAAAATGTCTTGTTTTTGTGGAATTAGTCCGCTAAAACTGACCATAATCGCAGGCTAAAAATTTCTGATCGGTCGCCTGTTTATGGTCACCTATCGACTGCTATTTAAAATTCGGGGATTGTCGTCGAAATCTGGCGACAGCGATTGTGAGAGTTATACATGTTTGTCACAGAAAATAATCATACATATATTAAAGTTGATTCATTTCTCACTCACTTGACTAGATGTCATGTCCGTACTCGATACAATATGGACGCTACATCGTTTTATTTAATTGAGGTGCTTTCGACTGCTCACATCGATTGTTTTAGTCTACTCAGCTGTAAATGAGTACGTGGTTGGTATTGCTATAATGGTTGAATTCTAGCTGTGAGCGCTGAAATGGCAGCATCGGCTGTATGCTCCCAAGGGAGTTGAAAAAGGTATTGGCTGGTTGCAAAGGCCATATAACCACGGATAATAATTTGTGAACCGCTTTGAGACGACCTACGAACTAGGCTGTGTTATATAAGTGGTATATAAGAACGACGAATTATTATTATTACTATTATAGAATTAACTGACGAGGTGATTATTATTTTCAATATGTAGATAAATATCAAGACATGAATCTGACGAAAAGAAGTGTCTTCACAGACAAGGTTTTGAGAATCTATCAATCTTGAATATGATTTTCAGTGTTAGTCAGCCACAAAGAAACAAAAAATCCCCCTTAGAATTAATGAGCCGTTATTGCACATTATTCGAATAATGTTTTTTTCATTTAACCTCTTCATGTATAAAATAGTACATGCACATATCACTCTGTCTGATTAGGATTAGGATACATAATTTTATTAAGTGTCATTGAATATTATTCAGTCATTAACACGTTTTGGCCGGTCTAACAAAGCAAATACTTTTATAAGTATCTTTAAAGACAATTAACCATGATATTGTCTTTTGGGTTATGGACGTGAGAATGGTACAAAATACTTATCTGTTAATTTCGTAATTAGTGTTGGAACATTCATAAGCCATCTTCTGACCTACGAACGTTCTGCCACTGATCTGATTCTAGGGGGTTAATATTCTCACCTGAAGGCCAAACCCACTGTGTGCCGTTCAGTGAGGCACCTAGCCAGTAATTCCCGTTGAAGTTGGGATGTTTTAGTAAATGTTCCATAATTGCTTGTTCTGTTTTTTCGTCTTCGATCATTGCTAAATATTTATCGCCGGCCACTTGCTGTACTAAAGCTTGCTTGTTACACTTTTCTTCTGCCTGCATCCACGTGACATGTTGATTTAAATCATCTAAACTATTTCCACTGAAGTAGTAACAGCTTCTATTATGAAGCATGCACACATTCCCATTGCCAGACGTGCATGATCTAAATGTACACTTCTGGTTATCTGCAAATCATTACATAAAATATTAATACAAGAAGAAATAGTCATATTAACCAAGTAACAATTGGATAATGTCTTCACATTTAATCATCGCAAACGAAACTAAATATTTCCTTCGCATTTTCCAGTTCCTGAAATCGTTACGGGTAATATTAATGGGTAGTCATATTAATGACATGTAGATGTGTTCCATGTGGTTTAGAGTAGATCGGAATTGTTTACTTAATCAAGTCAGAAAGGGAAGGGGCTTGATATTTACCAATCGTATTCTATGTCCATAAAATAATGCTTAAGAGAGGTTATAATCACATTATTAAGTAACAGAACTAATTATTACTCTTTTAACAATGAAGTAAATTATTTCCAGTTTAATGATGTCACAATATTTGAATCCGTTTTTTGATTACTTGAAACCACATACATGGATCCGTTCTCAATTTGATATAAATTCATTACTGTTAAGTATTGCAAAGGTTACCTGGGGATCACTTACTTGTCTTTGTCTGGCAAATATATTTGCTGTTAGTCCGAATTTTATTATGCTCAATAATTGTCTCATTTCCGGAAAGAGCTCTCCAATGATATGACGGTGGTTTATTCGGTGAGAATCTGTAACTGAAAACAGCGCCTTATATAAAGCGATCGATTAATATAGTTGAAATCCAGATCTCCAACAACAATGATGTATAGGCACCCAAGTGATAAATAGATATAAGATTTTCTGCAATTTGCCATTGAACTATTTAGATATAAACAGTAATATACAACGTATAAGGTCGTACCTTCAAACCCAAAATATTTCTGAGATTTTAATCATGTATAAAAAGTTGTTTTTCTATGGTTGGAGTACTGTCATCAATTGTTTGATATATTCACAAGAACTGTTCTTAACGGAAACAACTGTTAGTTGATGTTTTGTATTTTGCATGAAAAAAATATCTGAAATGAAAAGATCGAAAGTGACACTTATGAACAGTGACATAATTTTCTTAAAAGATCTCAGTTTAAAAAAACAACAAAAAAAACAACACCCAACGGAATAAAATGAAATTTTGTCAGTAGATGGGAAATAAGTTTCTGTTTTAGAATTATAAATACAAAGAATTAATCTGTAAGTGATAATGACGACTTTATAATGATATGACTTCAATATATGGGAAATGTGATATTCAAATGCATGTGTGAAATGATCATTGCTCCAAGGAATGTCTTTCAGACGGAACTTACAAATAAGATCAAAGATCTTCATTCGTCTATAAACGCAATGAGAAACAATAATAATACCTCAGTGCTATCTTGTGGGTATTGCCGGTAATGTTTGGTTGTCCAGGATACCAATCAAAATATTTCAGGACCTCATTACCTGTGTCGGACAAATGTAGAAATTCGTGTGATGTTTGGATGCACATCTGATACATAGAGATTCTTCAACGAGTGCTGGTTGAATAACAATTTTATCTATCCAGAGTTCAGTTATTTTTTTTTAATTTTGACATGTGGATTACCGAGTGTTTTGTTTTTAATCAGTTTGAAAATAGCCTAATAAGATATTACGTTAACATGTTAAGAGTCATGACGAGTTCAGGGACATTTTACTCCAACAGTATTAATACTTTATCTAAGTGTACAAAGTCAAATGTTTCCATTGGAAATCAATTATTCCTGTATCCGGTCGGGTAAACAATTGCCACGAATTATGGTGTTAAAATGAAAGATGACTGCGGAAAGCATTGTTACGTGACGTCGTTATTAGAAGATTGACCAATGAAATCTTTTCAGCTGAAACCCACTACAAATGATGTTTACCAACATCTAGCAGGTATTTCCAATGAAGCGGGAGTAACGAAACTTATACTGGTTGTTTTAACGATATTTTTGTAATATTTAATGTGACAAGCTTTTAAAAGTTATAATAGTGAATTCATTAGCTGTAGAAAATAACATATTGATTGGTTGTTTGTTCTGGATTTTATGCGACGCAATGAGGCGAAGGGTACTTATGTTACTTACTTTTGCTCCAGGTCCATTTAGGAGTTCTGTGAAGTCCAATCCAAAAGCCGGGACTGTGTGTTTCATTAAACAGCTTCAGTTTTGCGTTATTCACATCAGACAACTTATCATGTGTATCCAATGATACCAAACTGCCGTTTGACTTCCTGCAATAGTTGGAAGCATTGCCCCATGTTGTAGGACCGGACACAAACTTGTAGGAGAACGGTAAGAACGCCGAATGAATAGCATTTTCCTTTGTAGCTGTACTGTAAGACATCGTTTCTGAAATAAAAACAAATAATGAGAGTGTAACCTAATGCGTTACTACAAAGCATAAAGACAATATAAAGAAATTGAGTTGTTGATGCACACATATGATAACAGCGTTTTTTTTATACAATGGAAATCATATCATTGTGTCGATATTTAAGGACAAAATATAAAACAATAAGCTTTTGAGACAGGAAAGCAAATATGGAGACATACACAATTTATATTGATATTGATATATAACCGGAGGATGTTATATAAAGCCTTTTAGACTGTAGGTGAAATAAAATGTTTTGAAAAAGTATCGTATGTGATACTATAAAGATCAGCAAATATGTCAAAACATGTCAAGACAATACATTGACAGTCGGTAATATTGATTGACAGTGACAAATTCCTATTCATTATTTTTATCACTGACGGTATCTTAATTCGTCACGTAATTATCAGAATTGCCCAGTCTAATCTTATTTGCACTGTCTCTTTACTTACATTATCTTCCTATTTGCATTATATCACAGAGTATTAAGTAAGATTTATGTAAGGTAGCTAACATTAGCACAATGCTAATCCTCAAGAGTATGTCTGTTATCTCTGATGTTAAACGGAAATAGTCGCATGAGTGACAGCCTCAGCAAACAAGGTTTGAAATAATTATCAAAGTCAATACGACAACAACAGGAAATAAAAAGCTCCAGATAGGAGATCAGGTCTTTTGTCGATCATAAGTCACATGAGGCAAGGTGAATACGTCTTTAATCAGGGCAGACACTAAAATCCCAAGGTCAAAATGACAACCATAAACGGCCTTAAATGAGAAAATAACCTAGCTAAGATATTTAATCGGACTATATCCCTAATGGAATCTTTACCTGCTGTAATGGTATTGCAGACAACTCCAACCCGAGTGTTAAAATTCTAGATTGTCTAATCCGAGGCTTACTTCAAGCCGAGGGTCAGACACTCAAGAACCTCATTTCGAGGGTTGAAATTTATGTGGCATACCCTCAACTTCGGGAAAAGTATTCTTTTCTCTCATCCTATCGATAATATGCCCCAAATCCATGGTTATCACTATTAACAATATGATTTCTTTCCTGATTTACACGTTATCTCGTCAGAAGCTGATTGTGACATCACACATTTTGTTACATTGTATAACGCCACGTCATATTGTTAGACTTGTATGACGCATAACTGCATATCTCCCAGCTGCAATGGGAATATTTATCTATTAACGAAAATGTGAAACTTCTAACAAGCAGTGATGAATCAGCTCTGACAGATATACTCTAAAATCAGGGCAGCCATCTATGCAAATATACATAAGGAAACAATCGACTGTCTTTGCAAATTAACTCTTAAATATATCAGTCGACAATATCAGTGACTTACGGTTATGTACACTAACTGTCAGTTGACGGAAAGGCCAAATCCACGTACATATATGTATCTACGCCTGTCTGTAAATCACCACAGTTCTGACCCTTCTGTTTGCATATACAGAAAGAAAAGTACAATATATGCATCGCATCTGAATCTGTAGAGACCAAATCACCATTAAAGTTTACTTTGAATGAAAAAATTGAGAGTTTTGAAATGCTTTCCTGTTCGTTATTCCTGATACTTCGATGGAGTATGCTAATCCAAGTAATAATTTCAAGAAAATGTGGCTTACCTGTGGATAAATACAGACACATCAAAACCAATGTTAAGAACCAAGGCACTCCCATGGTATCAGAGGCAGTTATATGTCATTTGTTCAAAGATTCTCCATCATGTTTTCATATTTTGAGTTGGATACTATTATCACTATATGTATACATGTAAATATTTGATGTATACCGCTATCAGCGACAGGGTATGTTCCTTGCTATTTCATTCATATCATGAGACTGTATTATCTAACGTTATCAAAATCAACAAATGTTAGTAGGTACACACGCTTGACGTGGTAATGTCCGATACTTTCTGTAAACAAATGATTCATTTATTCATTCGGGGTGGTCGGGTGGCGCTGTGGATAGCGCACTTGCCTTTCACCTTGTCGGCCGGGGTTCGATTTTTCGATAGGTCCCCAGTTCATATGCCTCCCCAACCCCATGATGTATCGACAAACCCCTTTATAAAACATCCTTGGCCCGAAAAATGGCATTAGTATAGCGAAGTGTTATTGTATGAGCAGCATTACTGTCTCGGTAAAGTTAATATTTTACTGTGTATATTAACATATGATAGTAAACGCGCACTGTCCTGACAATATGAAGCATTTAGTGTCCGTATGCTTAACAATGGTTTTGTTACTAAAAATAGTTTGTACCCGTATGGCAATCTAGTTGTTTTGACTAAAATATGACCAGAATATCATTGATATCATATTACTTTGTGCCATTATTTTGTATTTAAACCTGATTTACCGAAAGGGCACCTAAATCATATACGCACTGTATTTTGATAGAGATAAATTTATTTTATCAAAGCTGTTATATAATAAAAACGGGATACATCTATCACATTCACGATGGTGGTAGCTTATTGTAGGATTGGCTGGTAATTCAAAATTACTTAGATAACCATACAATTATATACCTGTAACTAACGTTCAGGTATGTCATAATAAGTTTAAAAAACAAACGAAATTTGACCAATAAATAAAAAGCGTAAGAATTTATATGATATTTGTAAGCCTCAAATTTACTAAAACTTTAGAAACAGTTTTCAATAATGAATTAATTGGTTGTATTAATTTCAGTAGACAATGGTATGGTCAGGATGAAACTCCAGACTAAGATATGATATTTTATCCTTTACGAGGATAAGAGTAGTTTTATACATGGGTACAATTATATAATGAAACCTAATACTACAAGAGATAGACTTCTGTTCGTTTAGTAACTCAATTCAAAGAAGTACTATCCCTCTGATCATAACATGTTTTGAAGTGCCACGATGAAATTTTATGTCGTAAAGTGTATTGAAACTTTCTGCCCAAAACGTGTGCACGTAATTGATCTCACATCTATTTAAAAGGTATTTTGCTTTGCGGGCTGTATAAACTGATCAACTAGAATTCTGTACTTTGTGTGCATGTATAATTTTTACATATATAATATACATTCTTATTCTAAATGAGAAAAAGATAATATATATTTAACAGAACTGCCTCGATATCTTTATTATCAGTCCACATGATATCGGTGTGTTTAATCAGACTACGTGTTATTCTAGTACAACACCACGCGCTGAAACAGGTTAACCAAAGTCCCCTTGAACTTCCCAGGTTATCTATGATTACACTTGACCCAGCCATCATCTGATATTTACACGAGCCTCAGAGTACCAACTAAGGCAGCGTGAAACCTTCACCATCCCCGGTATGTCGCACCTCCAGCTTAGCAAGCAGTATTAAAAATAAAGATCGTTCATAAACAATATCTTGAAAATATACATGGAGAAACTTTCTCACGTTGATTGATTGTGTCTCTTGAATACTGAAAATAGAAATTAAAATGTTCGCACCCATATTGGTATTAGTTTATAGGAAACATCTTATATTCGGTTTGCATTGTAAGCATCTAGAATGGAGTTTACCTAAATTGATACGTTTTATGATAACTAAGTATTCAACGAAATATATTAATGATGATAACAATGTATGTATCTATGTACAGTATATATTATGGTAGCTACGTAAAGTTAAATTTACAAAAAGAATTTCAAAAGCGACAAATATCGGAATGTATACAAAATCAAATTCAAATTCTAAATCGATGAAACTGGGGCAAAGTGTGAACAAAGAAGATTAACTTGGTGACTTGGCAAAAATAATAAAATAAGGTTCCCGGAAAGGTGCCCACTGCTTTATCGACTACCCACCATGTATATTAGTTCAAATCCAGGTAATGTTACGTTCCCAAAGAGATATCCGGCGAAGTGATAACAAATCCACAAGGATCACTTATGAGCGTAACCATGATGTTGCCATTCAGATCGAAACATGGAAAAGAAAAAGTCCCAATGACATCGTGAGATCATTCTTTGTTGTGAGTTCAGCCTTCAGATTTCGGTATCTACCATTGACATCGTGATGTTTTTAGCAAATTCTTTAAAACTAATTTGACTTAAAACAACGATAAGCTGACAGATTCATAGAAACGAAGCCCCGCCCTTCAACATTAACATATGGTTTATATAATATGTAAAAATATAAGAACCCTTAAGGAACACTTTTGAGTATATCAAAATGTAAACGTTAATGACGTACAATGAAAATTTATACTTCCCCATTAGACGATAAGGTCGTGATAGAGACCATAACGCTTCCCCATACTGATCATTAATCTCTTTAAAAAATCCTGATTTGTGATTAATCTCTCAGCATTCGATATCTGTCATGTGAATCGTGGTATTCAGAGAAGAAACAGTTCTCATTCTCAAACTCAGATTCCATGCTTAAGCCTTATGATGGTTCCGTTGAAATTATGAAAACTTCACATTTTGTCAGTGATTTGGATTTGCAATATTGGAGGGACTTTAGTTTAGTTTACTCTCGATATTTGACCTTGTCGCATGATGAAAGCGGGATTCAGGAAAATTTGCTTTAGCACAGAATCCATGCTGTAATATTGTTATGGTTTCATGAATGCGGACCCAGATGTTTCCACAGGATAGGAAGGGTAATCGCTTCAAAAACGGTACATACTCTATAAATCTAGGTCACATTACAGGTGATGTCAAACTCTCAAAGTGGAAACTGCGGTAATGATACTGAACTTACAATCCACAAGACTTATACCATATAATAAGAAGTTTCGATATTCAAAATAATTCCCAATAAGATTTCAATTAAATGATACACATGTTACGGTACCTAGAGTAATACTGTTCGGTAGAACACTGACAGGTTTCATTCTATGATACAAGACTGATCGGCCACATATTTGCTTATCTGTTTTTGTGTCTTTGGACAAAAATTCACCTTTTTATACAAAATAATTATT